GGATGAGCAAGAGCAAGAGAGATCGACAGACAGGAGAGAGCGAGAGGGGGAGAGATACAGAGAGTCTGTCATTCTGTTGCTGAATGAAAGAGCGCATTGTCCTCCTCTCCGCTGAGCTCAAGCACTTCAAAGCTGTGCCGCCGTGATCACAGGCACACCGCCCTCCTTGATCACTTTCACGCTTTTATATCCATTAAAATATTGCCGGTTCACATCACTCTTATCTTTCCCACATGAACTTACTTTCATCATAGAAACACAGCAGCACGGCGAAAACAAGGACACCGTTTTATCCTCCTGCAGAACTCACAGGCAGGGACTTTCGTGGAAAAGTTTGCTGTTTGCCTCTGCCTTGACTGGTTCTCACAGCAAAGGTTAAAAGTAGCTGGATAAAAGATAAATAAAAAGATAAATAGAAAATAAGAAACAAATAATAAAGTATATTTGATTATTTCTTTTTTGTGATCAATGTTTTATTAACAAGTAAGAACTATATTCACAAGGCCCAAAATATGCCCACAAGATTCTTCACAACAGTAATGATATAGGGTTAATAGTTACTATTACATACCAATAGTAGGAATATTCACAATGATCATAGTGATGGTTAGTGTCACACTTGCAAAGGAGGAGCAGACTTACACATTAGAAAAAAACAAATAAAAGTGCAGTATGAAAGAGTTTCCACACACTTACATCAGTTAACAATACTTGACTACTAAGGCCATTAAGTGCATACAGTAATTCTTTCATAAGAGATATATATGCTGAGTGCCAAATATTTTGGAACCATCATTATACACAACCTCTGTAAGGTAATACAATTGCTTATGTACGTTTAAAAAGTGATTACATTTATGATGCTTTTACTCTTACATTTGTGAGTATAAAATCGGTTGGCAAACTTCTGTGGTTACAAAGAAACAAGTATAAAATCAGCAGTTATTTTATATAATTATTCATTGTTACTCTGTCTCTGTTTTGAGTGGACCTATGCTGGGTCACTTTTCCACCTCGTTTCTCATTATTATTCTAATGAAGAACCCAGGCTGATGGCCTAATTCTCTGGCTTCAGTTTGCTTACAGCAGTGGGTACATTTAAAAGTATGGGCTTATGGTGGTGATGTTTGTGTGAGAACTTGATGCAACATGACAAAGTTTTGTAACAAAACAAAAGTTTTGCATACAATTCACAAGCTACAGTTTAAGGATATTAACAAATACAAAAACAAAACTCGGAAACAATCCTACAGAAAACACTCGTGTTGCCTACTGTGTTACTGTACATTTTTCCTAATTTTTTAAATCAAGTAGGTGTTTAAAATTAGCAATGAAAGTGTTTTAGTTTTCAACTATTAAACAGGAATTTCAATTTGTCAAAGTTTATGCATAATTCATCACAGAGACCTACAGTACTGAGCAAAAGTCAGAGACCAATCTTTTATTTTACGTTTACTGAATTTCCAGTGAAGACGGCCATTGATTTACTTTGCAGCAACAGATAAAAGCAAAAAACATATTTAACATGTCCACCCCTTTGTCTTTATTACAACATCCTTTCTTTTCAGACTTGCTTTCAGTTTTTCAAAGAAAGCTACAGGAATATTTTTTCACACCTTCAGAGTTCAGTGTTAGAAGTTGGTTGGTTTTTCTGCTTCTTACTATCCATATAATCCCAAATACATTTAATGATGTTAAGGTCTGGGGTGGTCAGTTCATTGTTCTCACCAGCAGCTTATTTGTTTAGTTTGAAATTTTCCTCTGCTTTTTTCCTGTCCTCAGTAATGGCTTCGTGACAGCTACACACCCTTTCAGACCCAGAGTGGTGAATTATCTTCTGACAGTGGAAGGATGGACAGAAACTCAAGATCTGAAGCAAGAGTGGAGCTTGATTTTCTCATACCTTTCAAAAATTAAAGCTTTCTAAAGGTGACAGTTTTGGTGATCTAGCTGTTCTTGAAGGTTGTTAAGAATCTCTATATCTATGTAACTTTTCTGAACTCCAGTTTGAGAAACTCCTGCTTTTTTCCCCCACTTATTTTCCTTTGATTTTCCTCTTCCTTGCGTAAGTGAATTATTTTATGCCTAATCTCCTCAGAAATATCTCCTGAAAATTAAATAACTTGTACCTAATGGAAGTTTTGACCGGAAATTTAATAAATGAAGGTTGGTCTCTGACTTCTTGAAAGTACTGTAGAGTCCTTGTGAAGCTTAGTTAGCACAACTCAGTGAGAACATGGAGCACAGCGAATCTACACATCTTAGCCACATGAACAATGTTTTTTTTATGTGTGTCTGTACGTTTGAGAACAGGCATCACTGGAGTGGGGCAAGCAACTCAAGAGAAAAACAAATACGCAATGTCTGTAATGGGTTAAGATGAAAATGGCAGCATCAAAGAGAACGGCAAGAGGCGTATGAGTGTGGTAGAGGAGAAATAGGAAGAAAAGAGAAGAAACTGAATCAGTGAGGGAGTGAGATAGAGAAGCTGAAGAGGGAAAAACTAAACCTCTGAATGACACATGTAAACAAACAATGTAAGAGAAGGGTTGAGATGAGAATGAGAGCATCAGAGAGAGAGAGAGAGAGAGAGAGAGAGAGAGAGAGAGAGAGAGAGAGAGAGAGAGAGAGAGAGAGAGAGGCTATAGAGATGAAAGCAGCTTGCCGCTGGCTGGTGCCCCAGTGCTTGGTGTGCTCACAGTACAAAGGCCCTGCCATCCCTCAGCCAAGCCTGCACTGAGAAAGACAGAGAGAGAAAATGGAACAAACCACTAACTCACAGACCACCTCCATTCATCCCTACCTCCCTCTTCCTCTCTTTGAAGTACCCCTGATTAATCTGCTCTCTGTGCACTCTTCCCTCACTCTCACTGGTTCTGATACATTCTGCATCTCTTCAACCTGGAAGATGCTGAGCACAGCATTCTCAAGCAAAAGAAGAACAAGAAGGATTAAGAGAAAGACGTGTTTTGATCATTTTGAAATCTTCAAAACAGTAAGCGTTTCTCTAAACGTAGGAAACTGAATTGGTCTCTCCCTTGCTCTGGTTAAGGCGATTTGCTACAGCAAATGGGTCCAGGGGCTCTGTTATGCTGTGGCATGCTTTGGGTTAATGCAACTAACAGATAATGCTTATATCTTACATCCCACCAATTTACATGATATGCCTACACCAAGTAAAAAGTACAGGCCAATTTCAGGCTTCAAGAAGGCTGCTACTACTGTTTAAGTTACAGTCGTGTGCTAAAGTTTGAATACTCTCAGTCTAATTATATGTTTTGTTGATCTGTGAAAATAAACTAATACATCCTACATGGAACAAACTTAAGTATGGATGGAAAACACAATTTTGCACATTGTAATGTACATTTGCTGTTTGTTTGCCAAGTTTAACTCATTGGGGTAAAACATAAAACATTTGTGCAAAGGCCACAGTTTATGTTTTACTTTTCCTAATGTGTTAGATACAGCAAGCAAACAATAAATGTACATTATTTTGTGCAAAAGCATGCTCTCTGAAAAGAGATTGTGTACTTATCTTCACTAAGAAAATCAGCAAAATATGTAATTATAACTGTATACAATTGTTTCAGTCAGATTTTCAAAAGATAACATCTGTGTCAAACTATGAGAGGCTATAAGAGATTTCTTAACGTTTGGAGATGTGTGATGATTTAGGCATGCAGTTAGCATAAGTGGTGTTCAAAAGTCTATTACTTGAAAGCTAAATTAGCTTCCAGCACAGAACTAAAGCAGTAAACCCTGGACATGCATCCCATTATGGTAGTTTGACTACATCTAGGGAAGGGTCACACTGATTTCATTTTTCAATTGTATTCTGTTTTTTGCTGACCTACAACTTTAAGCAAGCTAGTTACAGACATGTCTTCCTTGCTTTACTAACTTGTGGAATTTTGGACATTCTCATTCTCAGTATGGCTAGAGCGGTGTGTTTGGGTGTGTGGTGGGAGGGGGGTGTTTTGTTGGCAGGGGGGTGGCAATCACCCAGAGGACTAACATCATCACAGCCATGAGCTCTGACGCAAAATTGCAGCAAAAGGCTACTTGGAGTGCATGTGTGCGTGTGTGTTGAGGAGGTTTCGCAGGGGGCAGTGCAAGGGTCAGTATGACAAGGTTACATAAAGAGATAACACACTACATACCACACGCACACACAATATCCTACCACAGTACACAACAGTCATGCTGAATAACACCCAGGTATTGTGTGCTGGTTATGAAACCATTTGCCTCCATTGTCTGCTGCTGAAGACAATTGAAAAGTGGGTCAATGGGCTTCAGGCACAAAACAAATCGGCTCCCAACATTTCAGTTTGCACACTTTCCCCCCCTCAGAGGGACTGGCCTGATGCGTTCTGCAGAAGTTAGATCACTTACCCTTGTGCGTGCTCCAGCTTTAGTTCAATTCTGCAATCAGCATGTCCTCTATGACAGCGAGACCATGGCTGGACAAGCAAATAACAGATTCAAATAAACAAGAAGCAAAATTTCTGATACTTTTTTATGAGGGGCAATGCAACTTGTGAATAACAATGCAAAAACGTCCTTTGGTTTCAGAAACGCGCACATAAGAATAACGAAAAATTAATGTTCTTACCTTCAAACAACACAAAGCAAGACAAAACAAAACCAAACCAAACAATGTAAGAACATTTTCCATACGTTTAAACAAATGTTCCAACGTTCAATAAGTATCGTTTTCCTGTCAACATACATATCAAAGACAAAATGCTTGTACAAATGTTAAATAAAAAATTGAATGGTAAATTTTTTTCTACTTCATTGTTAAATGAATACTGAAAGTTACTGCTTTTTGCGGCCAAAGCTCAGGAGCTTTTAAGTCCAGTCCTGTGGAGCCACTGCTCTTCACAGTTTAGATGTTACTGCAAAGTTAAACTGTATAGTGCTAAAGCCCTCAAGGAGTAGGTGAAACCTCTGGAAACTCTTGCTGTAGTTAATTTTATTCTGTGTGTGTATTATTAGTGTTTTGGACTGCTGATGTTCTTGCTCTTGCTTGTGTTTTTGCAGGAAACTCTTTGTTCTGTCCCCCCTGTTAGCCTCTCCTGCTCAGGAGGCTGAGGAACAGCGGAAGATAAGGAGGAAGAGGAGGATGAGGATGATGAAGCAACAGCAGTCAGCATTTTATGAATGTTGCACACCTAAGAAGAATCACATGAAAATACAAATCCCATATTATGACACCACATAATAATAAAACCACAACAACAAAAGCACCAGTTCCCTCAAAATACAATCCAGACTAAAACAGAAACTAAAACAGAAAAAGCAGGTTAAAACACACTGGATCAAGCTGTGGTTCCAATGCTAAAGCACTGTGAAATGCACAAATCAAGATGGTTCTTCAAGGGTTCTTTAGTAAAGAAAATGGTATAGAACAATGAACTGTCAAAGAACCCTCTGCATGATTAAAGGGTTCTTTGCATCCTGAAAGGTTCTTCGGATTGATGCAATCTGTTCTTCTATTGTAACAAGCTTGATATCGTAACGCTTGAGTGAACACTTTTTGGTGCTACATAGAACCCTTTTTAAAAAGGTTCAGGCTTTTTTAGGTCCAAGCAGAAGCCACCCCGGACTCCAGCCCAAGTTTTCTCTCCTCTCACTACCACCATAAGTTGAAGGAACAGTCCAAACTCACACAAATATGTTGCACAATCCAGAAACAGACAAATCTCTCTACTACTATGTTACCATTTCTGTGGCATCACATGGTTGCTTTCTCTCTTGCCCACTAAGTGACAAACAGCAAGCCAAATATCTAATTTAACTAAAATACATCATCGAGCCTTTCCAACTTTGTGGTGCATTAGCCAGGAGAAAATCTTCTTATTTACTTCTTATTTTTCATTTTAAGTTTGAAACAGGCCTACTAGTTGTGATTCAAGGTTCAGTTGAACAGAACTACCAAAACTACAACTGCTAACACTAACCCTCTGTCACTATGAGCCACATCAGTTCTGCAAGGGTAAACTACCCCTTTAAATCAGATATTCTCAATCTCAGTCCTGGTGATCACATGCACTACACACTTTTATGTTTGCCTTGTTCCAACATATATCAGCTGATTGAAAAGAGGTCATCAAGCCCCTATAAACTGAACAGCACTATTTTGATCTGTTTCCTGGACTCCAGAGATGCAATGGGACTAATTTACCTCAGCGTGGACCTGCTGCTGGATCAGGAGAAGACAGTCTCTGCTCTGCCTCACTTTGTGTACCTGCGACTCTATGGCACAACATATACTCTCACAGCTAGCGCACCTACACACACACACAAACATCACCTTAGAAATAGGTAATACATACAGTGGCCCCCAAAAAGTTTTTTGACATATCTGTTCTAGATATAAACAACTGTTGCACAACATCAAAACAATGGTGGACTCTTTGGAGAAAGCATAAATAATATTTCCAACCAGTCTGCACTCAGGGTGCTGTAAAGCAGTGGTTCTCAAATCAGTCCACAATTATGCTCTATCCCTGTGCAATGCAAGGTTGGAGCAAAAATCTGGATTGTCTGGGGATCCTTAAGGACCGGTTTGAGGACAACTGATGTAAAGCATGTCTGGGGCTAATTTTCTTACAGAGGTGTTGGTGAGCTTTTGTTCATGAATTTAGAAAAATGTACAAACCTGCAGAATTTTGCAAAGAAATTACTCAAATGATAACTAATCTAAAACACGCCAGTCACCTTCTGAAAAAATACTGGTACAAAAAGAAAATTACAATATAATAGTTTGGTTCGTCAAAAAAAACGTCACTTACTTTTCCTAACACACTAAACCTAATTCATTTTAAGTGTGGCACAAATATTTTTGGGCCTACTGCAGTCATTACTTTAACGACTATGGGCTAAGTGACCTGTTGTTTTTAAAAGCTGAAAGAAGTGGTCTCCTCAAAATTAGAGGCACAGCAAATGTCATACAAGAATCAAATACAGTCTGTACTACAAACAAAACAGGTCTCAGTCCTCTAATGTTTCTGGTTATCATGCCATTATAAGTGAAAATTCCTCCACAACTAGCTCTATAAAAAGTTGGGGAAATGCTCAGAACTCTTCAGGCATCTTAAATAAAATCTATTTTGTGCAACTATTGCAACATTGAGGTAGACAAAATTGCCTTAGACAGAATGTCAAATCACTCTTGCAGCCAATACACTTCCAAATCCTAACCATACACTTCTCTGTCAGAAACATTCTCACCAGTTCTTGAGTGTTTGGGCCAGTTCTCCTGTGTCCATGGAGCGCATGTCTCGGCCAATGCAGGCATCCACCTCCAACTGCTGCTTGCACTGGTCCAGTTTGCCCCTGATCACGTCTGAGTAGACTGCCTCGATCAGCACATCTTCCAACTGCCTCACACTGGCCACCTCCAGAGCTGTCTGCAGCACACTGTAGGGGATGCACTGTATAGACACCACTCATTATAGATATGCACACAATACAAGGCTTCAAACGAACTCAATCTGTCTCTCAGTGTCTGCGGACAGACAGGCTCAGAGACAGATGTTTAGACACAGGAATGTATGTAGATACTGTAACAAGGATGCAGATTCAGTTTCATTCTGTTTGCCCCAGAGTTGGTCTTCAGCTAAATCAGGTAAGAGTCTCAAAGCCAAAAGGATAATGTCATTTAAGTGCATTCCAAGAGTGCAATTCGGGCACACCTGCATGTTTGCAGCCAAAGTAGCGATTGTCAAATGCCTTAGTTTATTCTTCTGGGCTTCAGAGAGAGGAGGCAAGGTGCCCTCGTTGGCTGAAAGCACATTACATAAATTAACAATTAGAGAACTTAAAATGTACGTGTTAAAAGGCTAATATCCATGCACAGTTGAGGAATAAATCGTTTTACCTTGGTAATCATGATACACGCCGTAGGCGAACACCTCCAAAAGTCGCGTGTATCCGTCGTTGGGACCTTTTGACAGCTGAAGGGTACAAAACTAATTGGCAAAAGACATTCTGGAAGAACACCGCCGCCTATTGGCGTATGTCGACCACATCCCCTAGCCAGTCAGTAAATTTAAACACGTTTGTTTAGTGCCAGTTGTGCGATTTTTTTTTTTTTTACCTCTTTAACATGCGGAAGGTCCAGAAATTCCCCGAAAGTATAAACTCCCGGGGTTTCCAGCATGCGGTTTATGAGTGAAACTAAGGCGGCTCCTCTCAGGTTCTTTGCTAGTAGGACGAACTGTTGTAGAGGACTGCCGTGACCACATTTCTGCTCAGTAGCCATTCGGCCAGCTGACTGACAAGAAGGAGAAGCTAAATAAGATGACCAATTCTGCAAAACGGGAAAACAAAAATACATACGAGAAGAAATGTGAAAGCTTCGTGGATGGTGTTTGTAAGCTAGCGTAGCGTTGTCTTTAACAGACACCCCTACATTGTCACTTAAGCTAATTTAGCTGGCGGGGTCCAGAGGCGAAGTGCCCTGAAATGCTCCCACTCAGCTAAATTTCTAACCAAATTCATATGTTACACCCACGAATAACCACCATATACGAGACGATATTCCTAACAACAGTTATTCCTACACAGATATAAATATATATGGATTCCTAACCGTCACTGCTGGGGCGGCTAAGCTAAGTTAGCTAGCGTTAGTTCACTTAACCTAGATAGCTTAACGCGTAACGAGTACGCTCAGCTTTGGAGAGGGGGCTGGATCTCTGCGTGGCGGGCGAGCTGTATTTTTCCGAGATGTTTCTCGTTTAGAAACCGACTAGTTTTTATTTTCACCTGGTGAATGACCGTCACGTTCTTGTAACGCTTGTTCGTTAATAAGCGATTAATGTAATATTAAGGCCTCCATCTTTATGATTGACTACCTAACTTTCGATGTTGCTAGGATTCGACCAGGTTTCTTGCGCATGCGCAACGCGCGCTCACCCAATGAATATATGAAGTCCGTTCCCGCCGGATAGAAGAGAAAAAGTCGCCTATTGACAGATGATTTTTCTACTTCTCGGTTTCTGACAGATGTATGTCAGAATTTTGACTTAGTGTCTCGACATACTTAATTCTCTTCTTAAAATATTGAGTTGTATCTCAAATTAATTACTTACTTTCTCTACTTTTTAACTTTTGACTTAAGTCAAAATTCCAACATACCGTTTTGAAGTAATCAGTTATTCAATTTCAAGAAAGTAATTCACTATTTTGGGGGAATACGTTAACTCCCATTGATATAAGAACTGACATTATTTCAAGAGAAAATAAGTCAACATTTTGAGAAAATAAATCATTATGCTTCATATTCAGTATAAGTCAATATTTTGATATATAGCTCCCTGAAACAGAAAAGGTAAAAAATGCTAGGTGACTGTTTTCACCTCTACTTGTCTGGAATGGACTGTGGTTGTTAGACTGACAAAGTGACACTATAAATAAAAGTTCAGTTTTTACAACAGAAAACTGTTTATGTGCTTTAAATGAGGTTATTCAAATAAACAAAGTGACTTTAAAACCGTTGATTCATTTGTTTGTGGTGGCCTGAAAAATTAATCGATTTTCTTTATTGTAAGTTATTTTAAACATCAGTCTATATACTGCTGTATATACCACATGTAGTACATTACATGCAGGAGTGCAAATTTGGTCTAATGGAGGGTGAGGGGGGCATTGTAAGCCTAAAGCTTACATACAGCACTGCAGAAGTAAGTGAACAAAGTACACCTCCAGTTAATTATCATAATGTCATGACATTTAATGTGTTGTACGCCAATATTAAAACACAAAAACTATACTATTAACAGCAGTAATTATGTCTTGTATGTTCAGATATATGCAGAGATTCAATTTCTGTGGCAGTTTTTTTTTTTTCTTTTCACTGTCTGACACTGAAATTCTTATGCTGTGTTAACATGTCTGCAGTAGATGGACCATGGCAAAGTGGACATTCAATAAAAATTTTGCCACAGCCAGCAGCGTGACTGCAGCAGTGAGCAGAACGTTCCATCAAGAGCTCAAATTTTCCAACTTTTGCCTTTGACTGCAAATGCCTTTTCTGGCATTGCAGTCACCATGGCAACACCTACATAACTTCATGCTGCTCTCAGTTCTCTTTGAATACTCTTCACTGCGCTTGAAATCATCAGATTCATCTGCTTGGAGGGGGTCCGAAGCACAAGTGACGTTCCAAAACTTTCCTCTGCACCTTGTGTGCAATTACACACCAAATCTTACAAAGTGCAGCTTTAATTACAGCACATTGCAGCAGACACTTTTATCAAAAGAGGTTTTCTGATCATGTTTTAGCGAACACATGAACATGGTCAAACATGGTGTTAAGAGTTTTCACAAGGCCGCCAAAAGCACTAGATTTATTGCCCAAACAGGGACTCGGACTCTAATCTGAAACCCTACCAAGGTAATGTTACCCACTGAGCCACATAATAACTACAAGGATATAACTTGGGAGTTGCAACTCTGTTTAAGAGCTCTGCAGATCTGGCACAAATCTTATTGTTAATTAATGTAATAATATTAATTGTATTATTACAATAACAAAAAACGTAGAGAATTATTAGCACTTCCTACTGTCAATATTATGTTTTGTTTTTGTTCCATGCTAACATTTGTCAGTGGAGTGTATACTGGCTGTGATGGAATAAGAGGTAGAGGCATCAGCAGATGTGACCTGTGCAAATAGGTCAGTCTCCAGGAGGAGCAGATTTTATCTGAGTGAAGCACAGCGTTACCAAGCACCCTCATACACAACTCTTCAGATTAGCTCTGCAGACTCCAATATATGCTTATCAGTGCCTTCACACACACTCAAGCAAAACACACACACAATGTTCAGGCTTAGTTAAAGTGACATACAGAATCTCCAGGGCAGCTGATGTATACACAGACAGGGAGAGAGGGAGAAAGGCAGATGTCCCAAAATCTATTGCAACTCAAGCACATCATACAGGTTAAACAGGTAAAATCAATTTATACATGCTTATAACATGACAGACAAAACATTTATATTTTATGTGCTGCTGATAAGCTGTTTGTGAGTGTTTGTCTTCAAGTCAGAGATCATATTGCAGATGTTTGATGCTGAAACCTCTTGTGTGGAGCACTATGAAAACAGGAGATTGGTGTAGGGTCCTAGGTTAGGGTATGTGTTTAGTTTCTGTTGCACAAGATGTACTGTGTGCATTTGCGCTCTGCAGAATGTGTATACATCATATATCAGTGGGTGGGACAAGCTTGCCTTCTCTAATCAGGTATTACATTAGTACAGTTTGATTTATAACAATAATGTATGTTACCTGCTACTAACAATTGAGGTAATTGTCTATTACCTTTTGAAACAAAATGCTTTCTGTTAGTTTCCAGTTTAAAGACAATAACATGGCGACAGATGAACGATAGTTCACCAGCAGACCAGTAGATGGCACTATTGACCAGCTCATTACAATACCTTAGAGTGCAGGTTCCCAGCCCTGGTCCTAGAGTACCCCCATCATGTGTTTTATTGCTGTAACACAGGAAGTGCTTTTAAAGCGATGATTATTTGCATCAGGTGTGTTTGTAGCAGGAAAATGTGCAGGCTAGGGCTACTCCAGGACAAGGGTTAGGAATCTCTGCCTTAGAGAGCGAAGAACACTTCCCCAGCAGACCAAAAGTTGGCACTATTGACCATGCTGGCCAATAGTGCCATCTTTTGGTCCAAAATATGACCTTAGAGAAAGATGAACGGTTGTTCCCCAGCACACCAGTAGACGGCACAATTGACCAACACACTACATTTTCTTAGAGAAAGATGAACGGTTGTTCCCCAACACACCAGTAGATGGCACAATTGACCAACATATTACAAGTAAAATCGAATTATGCACGCTTGTAACATGACAGACAAAACAGTCTATTTATAGTCTTAGACTATAAATAGACTAGTTTTTATACCCACTGAAGCTCAGGAGGACCTTGTTAAACAGCTGATCAGGTTTGTTTGTAGCAGGGAAAATACTAAAATGTGCAGGGTAGGGGCTACTTCAGGACCAGGGCATCGCTGTCTTAGAGAGTAATAAACAATCCCCAGCACTATTCACCAACTCATTGCATTACCTTGCATTATCACAGAGGGTGATGAATTCCCCATCAGAACACTAGATGGCACTATAGACCATCGTATTACATTACTTTAGCGGGAGATGAGCGATTGTTCCCCAGCAGACCAGTAGATGGCACTATTGACTACCTCATTGCATTACCATAGAAGGCAATGAACGATTGTTCCCCATCACAACGGTAGATGGCACCATTGACCATCATATTACATTATATTACATGCTTTTAGATGCAAAACATTTGTCTTCATACTGGCTTGTAATGCACGCTCACTTTCCCAATCAGTCACTCACCCACTCGCGTTTAGAAGGCAGAAAATTCTCCACAAGGAGGCACTATTAGCACTCAAGCAGCTTTTCATAAGAGCAGTACTTCACATCACTAAGTGTCCTTGTTGGTATAGTAGGATAACCAGGAAATGGACAGTTGTCCTCTAAACTAGCTGTGAGAGTGGTTTTACTGTGTAGCCTATTGGACTGACTTTTACTCTATTTTGCAGGCTAATGGAGCACAGATTCTTAAGCAGTGTTCTTCACTACAGTACCGGCTGTGGTCAGGAGGAAGATGCTGACCAAGCACCTAAACTGAGGCCAAAATCATCGAATGGGGGACAGCAATCATTAGCACAGCATCTCAGCACGATCATTAGCACAGCAAGTCAGGAAAGACTGGCCCAAAGCATAACCGACCACCAGGGGGCAGCAATTAAGAAAGGATACAGTTGTGTCAACATGGCACAGCAAGAAAACCTGCAGATCAGCTTGTCTTCTCTTCAAGAGGGTTCAAGTACAAAGACGATAATTGCAAGGCCCAAATCAGCAAGAGGACGAAGACGGTATTCCTTTCAAACTCCAAGCCACGTAGCTACTGCCGAAAGTCAGCCAGCTTTTCTACATGGAATGACCTCCATTTGGAATCAGTCAGTGCCTGCGCATCCCTCAGTTCAGAATATGGTTGGTCCTTTTGAAAACATCGAAAGCGCTCAAAGCTTCGTTAAACAAGCAGGAGATGAGGATAAGCCACCAACAAGGCCTAAATCGGCAAAGGGGAGCTCAAGACCAAACTATGCAAACAGCACTCATAGTCAGTCACATCAAGTGGATCCTCCACTATCTGCTCCACAAATGTCTCAGAGTCTCAACAGATACAGCGTACTGCCTTCTATAATACCACGTCACTTACACACGTCCTCACAACACTGAGCAAACTTACACACATCAGCGCAAACTCAACAAATTATATAAATGAGTGCACTGAATGATCATGCTATGTAAACGAACCTTAACTGATTTACTGTTTATCTTAATTGTTTTTGCTAGATTGTGTGGTGAATGTTCTAGTTGAGGTTCTCCAGATAGTCTAGACTTATTTCATATTGTGGGAGAACAACTGGCTTTTGTGTCCTTTGATGAATTGTAAAAACAAAAGTATAATTATTCATTAATCAGTCCATCCATTTGTGACCAGTGACCAGACCTATATACATGAACCTAGAGGTTGATACCAACAGTTAATTCAAGAAAACACAAAGAAAAACATAAAACAAGAATGACATTTCAAAGACTAAAATGTTGATAAAATAAATGAATATCAATTTAAGGGTCAAGGGCACCTGTTTGGCTATCCATGTTGAGGACATTCTCATCAAGCACCAAACATTACCTTCATACATTACGGTATCTATGGCATACATGTGACATCTTTGTCCAACCAAATATTTGTCCTTGTATCTGAAAAACAATACAAGGCTAATGTAAGCTCATGATCTAAGAGTGCATCAGAATTGGATCAGAACTGACTGATAATAATTCCAAATATGACATTGTCATTTAGCTGATTTATTTTTATGAAGCTTTTTTATGTTGTGATTGTATGGTGTAAATAAGGTAAGCCAACCAAGTACATGTGTGTTGCATTTGAACACTGTTGCCAAAGGCTACTTTGCTAATAATGCCAGGAATGTTTTGGAAATATTTTATACATACACTATATGGACAGAAGTATTGGGACACCTACACATTACACCTACATAAGTTTTTATGACATCCCATTCTAAAACCATATGCATTAATATGGAGCTGGTCCCCCCTTTGCAGCTATAACAGCTTCCACTCTTCTGGGAAGCTTTCTGTGAGGTTTTGTAGTATGTCTGTGGGAATTTTTGCCCATCCATCCAGAAGAGCATTTGTGAGGTCAGACACTGATGTTGGATGAGAGGGCCTGGCTTGCAATCTCTGTTCTAGTTCATCCCAAATGTGTTCAGTGGGGTTGAGGTCAGGGCTCTGTGTGGGCCAGTCAAGTTCTTCCACACCAAACTCACCCAGCCATGCCTTTATGGACCTTGCTTTGTGCACTGGGGCTCAGTCACGCTGGAACAGAAAAGGGCCTTCCTCAAACTGATACCAAAGTTGGAAGCATAATTGTCCAAAATGTCTTGGTATGGTGAAGCATTAAGATGTCCCTTCACTGGAACTAAGGGGCCTAGGCCAACCCCTGAAAACAACCCCATAGCATTATCCACCAGCATTATCCCTCCTCCGCCAAACTTCACAGTTGGCACAATGCAGTCAGGGAGGTAATGTTCTCCTGGCATTTGCCAAACCCAGACCTGTCCATCAGACTTCCAGACAGAGAAGCGTGATTCAAAACTCCACATAATATGTTTCCACTGCTCCAGAGTCCAGTGGTGACATCCTTTACAACATTTCATCCAATGCTTGGCATTGTGCTTGGTGATGTAAGGATTGCATGCAGCTGCTCGTCCATGGAAACCCATGCCGCAAAGCTCCCTGTGTACATTTTTTGTGCTGATGTTTGCCAGAAGAGGTTTGGAACTCTGTAGTTATTTAGCAGAGTATTGGTGGCTTTTATGCACTCTGTGCCTCAGCACTGGGCGACCCGCTCTGTAACTTTATGTGGTCTGCCACTTCAACGGCTGAGTTGCTGTGGTTACTAAATGCTTCCACTTTGTATTAATACCACTCACAGCTGATTGTGGAATATCTAGGAATGAAGAAATTTCGCAAACTGACTTGTTGCAATGGTGGCATCCTATTACAGTACCACACTCGAATTTAGTGAGCGCTTTAGAACGACCCATTCTTTCACAAATGTTTATAAAGGCAGTCTGCATGGCTAGGTGCTTGATTTTATACACCTGTGGCAATGGGACTCAATGAAACACCTGAATTAAGATTCAATGATTAAGATGCCCATATAGTGTGTGTGTGTATAAAATACTTAAATAAACATTAATAAACACATTTTTGTCGTGTCATAAACATGCGTGGGTGCATTTTAAAAACTGGATTAGCTGGGATCATTTCCCATTGAAGGGATCACTCCCTAGAGAGGCTTAATAGAAATAAATGTTCTCCTGGTACTTCGTATTCAGAGTTCGTTCTGAAACGTGTGTGTGCATGTGTGTGTGTAAGAGAGAGAGAGAGAGAGAGAGAGAGAGAGAGAGAGAGGGAGAGAGAGAGAGAGAGAGAGTTTCTGCCTAGTGGGAGCAGCAGAGACATCTCATGACCGGGTCGTTAGCTCTTATTGAGCTCGTGGTCAGTGTCAATTAAGCTGGACACACTGGACACAGAGCAGACGGCGCGCTGTGATCTCTGTTTGCTGCTGAAACTTGTTGCAGTCTGTGGTGTGAAATGCACATTAGCCTGTGTGTAAGTGCCTATCAGTGATGGTCCGCTGCTCTTAGCGCTGTGTTCTCCACTCCTGTGATGTTGTTGGAAGCGCTGTGGGGCCAACCAGCTGCTGCTCGACAGCTTTCAAAATCCTCTGAACTCCGAAGCGTGAACTGAACAAAAAGCGGTCTCCGGTGCGCGTGCACTCGCGCGTGCGTAATCGCGCGCGGTGGCGAGGAGTGACCGCAGCAGAGAGCACAGAAACCTGTAACACGCTGGCTGCGCTGCTCCGTCGCAAGAGAGACAGCTCATCAAGTAAGTGCGAATCCGACTAGTAATAACACAGATATTAACATTCAGAATCCAGTTCAGTGCAGCGCGTTTAGAGCCTGTGATGCTTTTACATCAGCTAAAGACACAAGTGGAGATTCAGGGAAACAGAAAGAGGCGAGAGAAGCTGTAACATCTGTAACGGCTGTTTCTGAAACGTAAAGCGTGTGTATGTTGTAGGTTTTGCTGGTTGAATTAATGATAAAATTCCATTCATAAGCACTTTTACATAAATACTTACACCTTTAAAGTTTTATTAAAGTAATATTTCTGCTTTAGTTTTGAATTAGTCAAAGTACACTCTTAAAATGGTTCTTCAGAGGATCTTCAGTAAAGGCAATGGCTCCACTTAGAACCATGAGCTCTATATAGAACCTTTAAATGTTTCTTTGCATAATGAAATGGTTCTTCGGATTGATGGAGAATGTGCTGTATATGGTTCTGTATACCAACTGAACCTCTATATAGCACCAAAAAAAGAGTTCTTCTACTGTTGAAAGCTTGACATCACAACAATAGAAAAATCCTTTTTGGTGCTATTAGAACCATTTTCAAATAGATTTATCTAGCACCATATAAAACACATTCTTCATCAATCTGAAGAACCATTTCGCCATACAAGGAAACATTTAAGCATGAAATGGTTCTATATAGAGCTCCTATTCAATATAGAGATCCTATTTCCAAAGAACCCTTAAATAACCACCTTTTAAATAGTGTACTGTTCTTTTTATTAATATGATTTGCTTATTTTGTATTTACTAATTGACCAGCTTTGCCTCTGAAAGTGCAAGGTGAATATCAGCGTGGCTGATTTTAATTTATAAAGTACATGACTCACATTGTAGTAGGCTAGCTTACTAACTGCTGAGTCATCAGCTTTTAATATGGATGGCTGCATTAGGTGAGGGATTCCCTTCTGTAGGGCTTTTAAGTGGAACTCATGTCTTGCCATGATGATGACTCTACATGCTGTACCAGAGGACACTGTCAGCTAGAAGTCCAAAGGGGGATTCCAATGATTTTTTAAAAATGTCTGCATAATTCAGTCATTGAGATGTGAACAAACTGATGCAGAGTGTTTTGACTGGAAGTGGTTTATTTTAGAGAAACATACCGACTCTGATATCTTCACAGTGGTGGTGATAAGAACTAGGGATTGCAATGTCTACAACACAAATATTTCTATTTTATTTTTAAATACAAAATTATCAATGACCCTACACGTGTCTTCTGAGTTTGTATATGTAATGTTGACAATGGTAAAATAGTGGACTATTTTGATTTACAACACCCTGCATGTAGCCCCCCAATAACACCCCCTCCCCCCGCACCCCCATTGAACTGAAGCATAAAGCACTTCACCCTTTTTAATGTCTGTCCATGACTTTCTGTTTCACTGGAGTATAAATAATCGGTGACACAGAAGCCAAATTTCCCTTATACACAAATGAAATGAGAAAAAAGTGTGCTTATATATATATGCATATATATGTATGTATATATGCCCATATATGGATAAGGCAATAATTAACACATTTAAAACAACTGGAGCTGTAGTCAATGTGCCTGGAAGCTAAGTGTATTTTACCTTCACGCACAATGAGGAAGATGGTTAGTGAGACAATATCCAAGGGTTCAGGGATCCAAGGATCATGACTGGAGTCAAGCTTTTTGACATGGTTATCCCCATTCCCCACTAAAAACCTTCAGAATTAGCTAGTGAAGAGAGTCCAAAAGAGACCTTGTAGCATCTGGAAAGATTCTGTGCTGAGAAATGGTCTCAGATTCTCCATCAAGCATTATAAAGGCAAAATGGCAAAAAAGAGCTTACACTAAGTACTAAATGCAGAGGTGCCAACTATAATAAAATATTTTTTTTTCTTGTTTTCTTAGAAAACTAAATTACCTGCAGTCTTTAATTATGGAGCTGACTGCACATAGTAGGTCATAAAATAACAAATAAGTGTAGGTTCAAGAAAGGTGTACTGACAATGCAATGTATATTGCACACTGCAAAAAAAAAATGTAAATTTAAATAAAAAAGATTTAAATTTTAAAGTGTAAAAATGTTAAAACACAAACAGAAAAAAACACAGGGATCATATCATGATGTATTTAAACCCAAGGCATTAATCACTAAATATATACAAAACTACAATTTATAGGAGACTTTCTGTTGGGAGGTGGCTGTCACAAACTCCTAAATTTCAACTTGTGAAAATAATAGTTAGTTTTTGTATTTTTTAAACGGTGTTTTTAAAAAAATCTTTTTGATTTCTTTTGAAGTTGAAAGATTTATATTTATCATTAGTTCAATTTTAAATTAAAAAAATATATTAAACAATATATTTTTCTGTCACTAATGAAACCCAAAGAGTTTTAGCCCATAGGCGGAGCCCTAGTTTAGCCACATCCCCATTTTGAAGCAGGAAGTGAGTTTCTGTCTTTTATGGCCACAAGGTGAGCAGTTAGATCTTATTGTTTTGAAATAATGTCCCCAAGTCCGAGAATCAGGATATAACCTTTAAAAATCATCACTATCAAAACACATATTTTCTGCAATTGAATAAACTTTTTTGTTTTAATGAAAAATATTATGATTTACATGTGTACAACGGTTCACACACACAAAGTAGCTAAAATTATCATTACCGAAACAGTCACGGCTGAAACTGCTGAAAGTTTCAGTCATGTTATTATTGTTTTGGTTGTGACTAAATGGAATGTTAAGTCATTTATTTTAATAAAATGAACATAATGAAGCTGTGGGGTCATTCAAAGCAATTCGGTAGAATGATCCATATATTGAGGAAAGTAGACCTCTGGGAGAAGCACATTTTGGTCATATTGGCCAAACTCCAGCACAAGCAGAGTAGCCTCATCGATAGGTCATGTAGCTCATTCACACGTTTAACTGATCTAGCAGGAGGCAGTCTTCACTCAAAATTTGTTTGTGGCAGTCAGTTGAAGTTTTAACAGAAGTCACATAAGTCTAATACCAAGGACAAAGCCTGTGGTCGGCTCCTGGATGCGAATAGGGGTGGCGCCAAACAAAATTATGTGCACATAAAGAAGTGATTATGGCTTAACACTAAACACTGCAGAGCAGTGGCCTGGAAGGAACCAAGTTTGGCGGCCCTTGCCCTAATAACTGCTATTGATTATTAGGGCTTGAATTATGTTGTATGAAGGTGAAGTATGTTATTGGAATGAAAACTACAGCCACACTTGCCCTTTGTGGACAAGACTGGACACACCTGGTTTAAAATGATAATCCTCATGTGTGTTGAATGTCAGACCATTGTCCCCACTGCTGCTTATGCACTTACTTATGCCCTTACTTATGTACTTACCATGGCAGTTCCCAATCAGGAGGGATGTCCTGTCTCAGATGGGAAGCCAAGTGTGGCACCAAATCCTGAATGTCTTCAATCATGGCTATGATCATTAGATAGAAGCACAGCTAGTGGACTATGACCAGGCTGTTTATGTGTCTGTTGGAGCCTTTTTAATGTAAGCTATGTATATCAGACATGATAAAATGTTGTCACAGGTGTGAAGGTAGTCGGTAGGGGAAGCAGAAGTGGGAGCAGTGGCCTGGCAGTCCATCTTGGACCCACTAGTTAAAGGAGTAGCACCCATGAATGCTGGTCTAGCCACAAAGAGTTTGTTGACCTTGTGCCCCCTTGGTGATTGATATGAGAAACCACAGCCATATACTCAAACTTTATCAGCACGTGGCAGTGCTACAGGACTGGGAAGAAGTGTCTCAGTGGCATGTAACTCTGACAGCTGATTGATATAATCAAAGACCAGTATTAACTACTTCCAAGACACCAGGGTCACCAATCGCTCATGCAGTACTGACCAGATGTAAGTTTTTTATCCACATCTGGAGAAGTGCAGGAGAGGGGTGACAGCTGTAGTTGCTGACGGAATGTCAGCTCAAGGAATGTCAGTAATGTCAAGTAGGCCACCCAGCCTGATATGGGAAAGGAGGCCAAAAATATCTTGGGCACATCTTTAGGACACAATAATGTCATTATGGAGAGTGAGTCTAGTAATAGACCTGTGAGTCTGATGATCTGAGGCATAAGAGAGGTTACTCCTGATTCACAGTCAGCCCCAAACTTGACTTGCTGACCTCCAGAAGAACCATGTGTCCCTCATTTAGACATTGGTCTCACATATATTTCAAAAGGAAGAACACAGCCTACACACACCTGTTAATTACCCTTACAGCCTTCCTTGGCAGGCAAACCTGTCTGTGATTGGGGTAATGGTTACACAAAACAGGTGCTCTTTAAACCTATGGATGTGAGTATTCTTTTGGGACAATAGGAGGGATAACCTTGTTCATGCAAATGAATTGATAGGTGTTGAAGAATGAACTGAGCCTACAAAGATTTTAAATGGGGCAAAACCCATTGGTACAACTGCCCTGAATTGAAGGGCATATGCTATAAAATATTGATCATGGCTCTGAATGACTGGCTGGGTACCAGAATAGACTCCTCAGAGTGCTCTGACAGGCCTCAGAACGGACTAAAACAGTTATAGTTGATGAGTTGTGGCTAGATGTCATGGGCACCACTAGCTGAGGGGTCCCAGTTAGCTTCTGCCAGGCATTGGAGTAATGGGGCCCAGGTGGGAAAGGTAGCTTATAAAATATGGCTAGATGTTATAAAATATGGCTACAATGCAGAATGTTGTCACCAACAGTTTCACGCAATACCAACATCCAGTCAGACCTACATGAATATTGGGATGCTATGGAATATAGGAATGCTATGATTTGAATATATTCAAGAGACCCATAGAAAAAAGGCATGACACCTAGTGTTAGAGAAAAAATGCAGATGTACAGTTAAGGGGGTTAGATGTGCTTGTTGGGTTATATTGGTTATTTGTACTGCATATATTGATATAATGATATGGATAGACAATGTGCTGTTTTCTGTTGCATGCAATGTCATCATTCA